CCTAACCGTAACCGAACCGTAACCGTAACGTAACGTAAACGTAAACGTAACGTAACGTTAACGTTACGTACGTACGTACGTCGTACGTACGTCGTACGTTACGTTACGTAACGTAAAGTAAGTAGTAGTAGAGAGAGAGAGAGAGAGAGAGAGAGAGAGAAGCATTCCATACGGCATGCTAGTCTTGCACAATGTTTAGAAAATGTTTTTTTTTTGGATTGGAAATCACCAATCCAGATTGGGAATTGCCAATTATTGGGTCGATTGTCGGAAATAGAAATTTGCTAGTAGTTTGTATAATATAATATGTACAGTTCAAATACGGTACCTATAGCACATGTTTTCAACATTTTTTTTATTGGGGCAAGTCAGTGGGGAGAAGGTTTTCTATCCGTTTTTCATTAATATTATATAATAAAAGAGATTATAGTTCATTGCTTTACAACCTTGGAATATGATATATGTGACAAATTATGAAGTAAAGTGACGGAATATAGTCCGGTGGACGAGAACGTCAAACAGTGGCTTCTAAACGAGATGTGGTTTTTTTTACATTTTATCAACATTCAACATTGGAAAACAATTTTTGGCATTTGGATGTGGCCAGTGAATAAAACGGGAGTTTGGTGGATCTTCCAACATCTGCCACTAATTGTTTGCATTACTTAGATTTGCCTTTATTACTAGGTTGTGTGGAAAGCTTAGGGCTGCAATTTTATGGGAAATTTGGAAATAGAGCAATAGAAGCGATATTAAAAGAAAGGTAATATGTGAAAGTAAAGTGAGAAAATCTATTTTAGAGACTAGGATTAATTGGGCTCTTAATAATAAGGATTGTTGGGGTATAAATAAAATAAATCTTTTGAAAAATATGAAAGAGGTGATTTAATTGGGGATTCCCCAAAAGAGACCACTAATGATTTATAAGCCACCACTAGGAGCGGTTATTAAATTGTGATGTACAGATATTCTGGATCATGGGTTAATGTATCCATGAAGTCATGCTCTAAGGATTAACAATTATTGAAAATAATCATTTAGGAGAGGTATAATCGTGGAGGGGAACCCACTCATGTTATCAAGTACTCAATGTTATTAAGTGGTGCACAAACAAAAAATACCATAAAAATTGAGAATGTTTGCACGGTTTGATTTGTGTGAAGGGCATGAGGTCTCCTTTGAACATGTCTAGACTAGAGTAAGGCCAATGGAGATGCGTATGTATTGGGAACGCTAGGGGTGTTTTGATAGCTACTTATTAATTTTTCTCCTTAGATTGTTTAGGAGATGCGTATGTAATGGATTGTAAGCAACTTGATTATAGTAAAAGCTAAAGAAATTTTCTAAAATTTAATATATATATATATATTTGAAAAACAATCATATATAAAGTGAGTGAAAGAATTACAAAAAGTTTTATACCCAAAAAAGGTTTAGACTTGTGATTTGGCTAGCACGTGCACTTGTCAGGTTATGGTAGGATTTGGCTAGCACGTGCATTTATATGTTTTAGGGGTGGCAACAGGTCGGGTATCAGCCGGACTTAGACCTAGATAGTATTTGGGTCCAGGTTTTAGACTCAGATCCACACCGTTAGGTCCAAAAGTTGAACTCATACCCATACCTGATGGGTTCTGGGTCCATCCCGTCGAGTCATGAGCCTAGTTGGATCCATTGCCACCCTCATTATGAGCTTCTTTTTTTGTTTTTTACTATTTATTTTACTATCATATACCCATAGTATTGGCAACAATGTCAAAATCACCGGCCAATAAATTTCAAGCCATCTAATTTATCATTTAATAGCTAAGGATGACTACAAGTTTTTATGTATACGATCCTTAATACACCCAAACAAATAGGGCTTGAAGTATTTTATCTCCAATAGTTTGTAGGTATGGATCGGATCCAACTAGACCTGACCTGGGCCCGACTCACCGGGTCCATATGTTGGACCCATATCCAGATTGATGTCGAGTGTACTTGGGTGTCCCGAGTCGGGTTCAGGTCCAGGTCCATTGCCACTTCTGGTACATTTCCATAGTTCTAAACCTTCAACAGCAAAGGGACAAATTTGCTGGAGTGAGAAGAAGGAAACATACATCTATTCAATATTGGACTATTCTTCTTTCTTTTTTTTTCTTTTTGGCACGTACAATTAAAGTTTTTACGAGGGGTTATCGGATGTTCCCAAGTTTTGGGGTCATAAAAATACTCCTCCAAGTTTTACATTGTGCCTAGATAATAAAATTGTATAATTTGTGTTTCACTCCATTGAATATTTAAAATGTTTAAAGATAACAAATGGGAAAATCTCACCCCACCTTACCTATTTTTTAAATTCCAAATGTTGATTTTTTCCTATTATCCAAATTTTGAACCTTGATTTTTTTTTCTTTTCTTCGATAGACCAGTGAAATGGACCCTTTGCCTAATATAGAAATAGAGTTCAAAACATCATCGTGTGGCACCTACCATAGAAATAGACCACATAAGGCTTTGATTTCAAGCAAAATCGAAACCCCCTTACCCTTATGAGCTCTTGATCTCAAGAAGGAATTGACCATGAGGATCAACTTCTAATGATGGCTTCCTCCATATGCTATGTTTCCTCCCTGTGCCTTGTTCCAGTCCTTCATCTTTCCTAGCTTCCTCATCTTTCCTCTTTGCTTGCATTACTTGTTATCTGACTTGCTTTCCCTTTTTCTGATTTCCTTTCCTTTGTCACCTCTTCTCTGTTGTTTCCTACTGCTCTTTTGACTTTTCTTTCGTCATGGGGAGGCGAAGTTCGAACTCTTCTTACTTTCACCCTGGCTCTAGCTAGGGTTCTTGGTCTTCAGCTGGCAAAAATTATTTTGTGAGTAGCCTGAATGGTTCTAGACGTTCTACATCTAGCGTTGAGTCAGCTCATTGTTCTCTTGATCTTGTTACTGGCCCTGTGAAGCCTATCGTTGCTCTTAAGACAAGACGAAGCCCATTCTCACACTGAAAACAAGCTTATTTTGGTTCGAGGGTCCCTTCTGCTAGTCCATCTTTATCGATCCCTTTAGGGAACATGTTCCTTTTACTGATGCTAAGGTTGTTGAGGTTGATTCCTTGGTCACTGCTAAGTGAACAAAACATCTAAATAAACCTTTGGTTTGTTCTTTCTGCCCTCCGATGGAAGACCTGAGCATGATTCAAGATTGGGCTTCTGCCACATGGGGATGCTCTCTATCTTACAAAACCATTGCAAATAACAGGGTCTTAGCCCTCTTTGACAATGAAGCAGATGTTGCTCGTATTCTTAAGCAACATTTTCGGAGGTTCAAAGGAGTTCTTATGACGGTTGAGTCATGGTCCTTGACGGATAACTGCTCTCTGGTCAGGAAATCGGCAGTTTGGATCGAGGTGTTGGGCATCCCAGTGCATGCGTGGACGAAAGAGGCGTTTCATGATATTGCTGTACAATGTTGCCGTCTGCTGGACATAGATTGGTCTTTTGTTACCGGTCCTTCTTTAGGGACTATGTGTATGCATGTTGCACCTTCTCCGGTTGCCTCTTTACCGGATAAACTTCTTCTCAAAGTGGCTCGGGAGTTCTTTGGGATCTCTATTATTGTGGAAAATCCTTTGCCTCAGATGAACTCCTTATCCTTTGATTCTCAGGCTTCTTCAGAAAATTCTTCTAGTAGTTATAAGACATAATCAGATTTCCGTTCTGGCCACAAACCGGTTACCGTCACCAGGAACAACTATAGACTATGGTTTCCAAAAAGAGGAGGGTCCCTTCTCTTAAGCAGCGGTACGAACCGAATAAGACTATCCGTTAATAGTGGAGGAAGAAGACAGTTGGATCATATTGTGTTTTGGTGGCTCTTAAAGGCAGCCTTGTCTCCCGAAACTCAAATTTAAACTCTTCAAACGGGAGTAATGTGCCATTGTGTTTTTCGCAGCACGTGCATATCTTAAATCGCAACCTGCAAAACGCTTTCCAAGCTCCATACATGTGGCTAGTGAAACGTCAAATATGTTGACCTTTTCGAGCCCTTCGAGATGCACGCTGGTGTCAGGCGCGACTGTGGCGCCGTCTCTCACCGCATCCCTGAGGCGGTCCACTCAATCATAGCCTCCTTCGTCAAATGGTGGAGATCATAAACAGGTGGAGTGCTACGTACCATGGATTGTTGAGCTCGACCCGAGCCTAAAAAACCAACGGTTGGAAGGGCTGGATAGAATAACGGTTGGTAAGCTGGAAGAAGGAGTGTTGTTAGCGCTATTTCAGTGTAAATCGATGCATATCTTCAGGAAGATACCCTCTTGCCAATGCCACGTTGTCGTCCTTCTAATAACTTGGCATTGATGTCTTTTCATTCTCATTCTTCCACTTTATATAAGGGCTTGGGTTGTTACTTGTTGTTTAGGCCCTTCTCTTCTACTTTGTTCTTCCGTATCTCCAGCACAGATTTCTTCGGCTCCCTTGTTCTTCTATTCCCATGGCCCAAGTTAATATTATAGAAGTTCCTGAAAAGAAAGACATTGTTGTGTCTAATCCGACCCTAGCTCCTAATAATTTCTTCTACCTTCCTCTTTCTAATTGGGAAGACATCAATGCTTGAGGCTACCTAACCTTGAAGAACCTGCTACCTGCTCTGATAGCAAACCCCACCAAGCACCCCAAAAGATTGCTCATGGCCTTTATCCCTGACGTTCTTGAGATACCCCATATGCTACTTACTGAATCCTCTTTGGAGGAGGAAGACCTGGATCCTAAGGATGCTAACTGATCCATGCAGAAACACAAAAAGGTTATAGCATAGGATCATGCAGGCAAGATGATGGCTGATATGCGGCTGAAGTTTAAAGGGGAGGTCAAGATTGTTGAAGAAGTCATTGCACGAAGCCACCACTCTGGAGGCCTCATCTTCGACTGGAAATTGAGGACCTCCTCACAATACTCCCTTTCAACCGTCTTTCTCCTGGTCTCACAAGGACTACAAGGGGAGGTTAAGACTTTCGACCGCGATGATTGTGCTGCCCTTGAACGTCCGGGGCCCAGGAGACATTAGAAGGAGAAGGGTGTTGAGACGTTTGGTGTCTGACTCCATACCTAATATCCTTGTTTTACAGGAAACAAAGATGGTCTCCTTGGACATAGTGTTCATCATATCTTTTTGGGGCTCTGGCCCTTTAGACTTTTTATATATACCTTCTAATGGCCTCTCTGAAGGTCTGTTAACTATTTGGGACCCCACTGTTGTTTAGGGTGTGCTTTTGTTGTTGCTTCTTGTTGTTTGACTGTTAAATTCTCTTGACTTGGTTCTTTTTTACGGTGTTTATCGAATGTGTGTGGTCCAAATGTGGTGGGTGAGGCATTTTTAGAAGCCATTTCTCACGTTATTTCTTCTTGTGGTTTGCTTTGGTGTGGTGCTGGGGACTATAATTTGATAAAGAGCCTTGATCACATCTCTTCGAATCCTCCCATCACACCTCAAGTGACCTTATTTGATGATTTTATCATGACTAACGAGTTGTTCAACTATTCTATTGTGGGAATGGACTTCACTTGATCGAATAACTCGGTTTCAAACCCTAAGCTATCCAAGCTTGATCGGTTCCTAATTTCTCTTAATTGAGAATTTGTCTTTCCTAAAGTTTTGGTGAAGGCAACCCCTCAACTAGCTTCAAACAATGTTCCTTTACTTCTCTACTACAACGAAGATTCTCTCCGTGAGCCACCATTCTGCTTTGAGCTTATGTGGCTTGAAGACAAGTCTCTTCTGAAACTTGTCTCAGATTCTTGGATGGAGTGCCCAGTGATAGGATAGTCGAGCTTTGTGATAACGAAGAAACTTAAATTTATTAAGAAAAAGCACATTGCATGGGGTAAAGCTAAATTTAATAATATTGGTCATGCCATTAGGAAGTTGGTCTCCAATATTGATGCCATTAATGTATTACAACAACAAAATAGGGTTCTAACTGTAACAAGAAAACTGAGCTTGATAACCTTCTTAGGAAGGAAGAGATCTTCTGGTTTCAAAGATCTTACATTAAATGGGTTAAAGAGGTAGAAAATAGCACCAAGTATTTCCACTCCATTGAAAACTCTAGATGTTGAACTAATAGCCTAAATGCAATGAAAATCCCGGGTATCAATCAAGATCATATTGATCTCTAGAACGTTGCTATTGTAGCGCAGGGGAGATTGTTCAATGCTCCCCATATAGTCCAGCAGGACTGGAGAAGCTTTTAATGGAATGGTATTTAGCACCTAAGATCCATGGCTTTCAATACTTTCACTTTGTTAACATTAGACAAACCAGCAGGCCAGGGGCATGGCATTTCTGGACTCTCATCTGATACCGGCCATGCCTGAGCTTCACTGAGATTTAGTTTAATTGCACCTGTTGGCAAAAATTTCCATTTGCTCCTGCAGCCCTCCTTTTTGCTTGAATTTCAGACAATTGCATTCCACTGATGGTAGAACTCCCTAAAGTATAACACAAAGATTCTCTTCTAGCTAGGGGGCTTTCAAATTCTATGCTAGATTGCCTTTCGATTTGATGAAGATTTCTTTAAAAGGCTTTCTTATAAAAAGACCTCCAACCTTGAAGCTCTATTTTTGGAGGAAGAGGCCAAAAAAGCCCTCTTAGGCCTACCTTGGGATAAGGCATCTAATCCAGATGGCTTTTCTATCGCTTTCTTGCAAGATTTCTGGGAGGTGGTCAAAGGGGACATTCTCATTTGGGATTATCAATTCTACCATGTTGGTATCATTTGCAGAGCAATAAATTACATATTTATTTCGAAGAAGTCCTCTATTTTGTCCCTTCAAGATGTCAGACCCATTAGTCTACTTTCTACTTGCTATAAGATTTTAGCAAAGCTACTAGGGAATAGGTTGCGAACAGTTCTTAATAAAGTGGTTGAAGGTCCTCAAACAACCTTTTATGAAAGACATTTATTATGGATGGTATCCTCCTTGCACAAGAGACCATTCATTCCACGTTCGCTTTGTCAACTAAGGGCATTCTCCTGACACTTGACCCCAAAAAAGCTTATGACCATGTAGAGAGATTTTTTGGTCTCCATCATGAAACTAATGGGTTTCAGGAACCGATGGAGATTATGGATTTTCGGGTGTCTATCATCAGCCCATTTCTTTGTTATTGTTAAGAATAAAGCCCATGGTTTCTTCAAGGCTTCTCGAGGGCTGCGATAAGGATATCTATTCTCCCATTTTCTATTTACTCTAGTTGCTGAAGCATTTAGTAAAATCCTCCAAGGGTCCATGGATGCTCATCTTATCTATGGCCTAAGAGCTTGACCGAATGGTTTAGTTTTAAGCCACCTTCAGTATGCGAACGACACTCTGATGATGCTGCTCGAAGGGTCCATGAAAAATATTTAGAATGTATGGTTGTTTCTGGAAATATACGAGTTGGTTTCTGGGGCACGTATTAATATGACTAAATCTCGTATTGTTGGCATCAACTATGAAGATTATGAAGTACTCCAATGGGCAGCTTGGCTTAATTGTGAAGTCGATCACTTCCCCTCCAAATACTTGGGGTTACCGTTGCTTGACGGACAAGCACCAAGAGCTATATGGGATCTGCTTATCTAGCGGGCACAATATAAATTGGACGGCTAGAAGTGTAGATTCCTTAGCTTTGCAAGTCGTTCCACACTTGTAAAAGCAACTTTTTCTAACCTTCTTATCTACTATTTGTCCTTGTTTTAGGCCCTGAATTTGGTCATTCTCAAGATCGAACAATTGATGTGGAACTTCATGTGGAGTGGCACCCAGCAGAAAAAGAAGTTTCGTCTTATTAACTGAAACTCAGTTTGTCTACTACGTAAGGAAGGTGGTTTGGGTATTCAGAGAATTAAGGATGTCAATGAAGCTCTGTCGACCAAGTGGTGGTGGCGTCTTGCTGCCCAACAAGATCAACTATGGGCCAAGGTAATTTACGGAAAGTATGGTTGCAATCTTGATGGCTTTACCACCATACCATGTTCTAGTTCTTTACGTCTATCACCAATATGGCGGGGCATTAGCCAGGTTCGTAACTTGTTCCTCTCATACACTAGGATGTTGGTGGAAGATGGAGCACTCACTAGATTTTGGCATGATAAATGTTTAGAGGACTATCCTCTAAAACTGCTATATCCAGATTTATACTCTAGAGCTGTTCATAAACATGCTGTGGTGGCCAATTTTATATCTCTTGACAGAGATAGGCCCATTTGGAACGTGATGCTCAATATGCGTAGAGTTAACCTTCATGTGGTGGATAACTATAGCTCTCTCATGGCTTCCCTGATAGAATCATTTGGTCCCTAGAGCCTTATGGCACTTTCTCTATTTCTTCTTTGTATAATGTGCTCTTCAAAGATCGTTACATTCAAAGTTATGGCCATCTAGCCAAATTTCTGGAGAGGTAAGAGCCCGAGCAAGGTTAAGTACTTATGGTTGTTGGGTTGCAAATGATTACTAACTGGTGACAAGCTGAGAAGATTGGGCTTATGCTTGCCGTGTGTTTGTTTATTTTACGAAAATGATGAAGAGACCATAGATCATCTTTTTCTTAGATGCTCTTTTGTTGAAAGCCTTTGGGATTGGTTGAGCACTATCTCGAGTTGGCATACCCCTTGTCCACTTAGTATCTCGGAACTGCTGCAACAGACAACAGATCTGGACACCACCTTTCTCGGCCCTAGGTGTTGTTCTATGGTTACTGGTGGTGGCGGCTGCCCTATGAAGTCTTTGGAAAGAACGAAATGTACACCTTTAAGGGATGATCCAAGAGTATGGATTATCTTCTTGTGTCCATAAAGAGATACTCTATCTCATGACCTTTTGCAATGTTCCCGGTGCTTTCCTTCCCTAAAGACCTTTACCCCAATTTCCATCATATTATTTTCTTGGACTTCTGAGGGATAGCTTGGGTACAACTATCTGATCTTATTAGGGCAGACTGCATTCCTGTTAAATCAATGAGGCAGAACTTTAGGCTCTTAAGATAGGAGTGGAACGCCTGGCCAATAGCCACTCCGAAGTGATTATTGAAGGTGATTAGTGAATGTTATCAAATGGTGCACCATGTCAGATCTTTTGCTATGGAATCTCATGAGTATTATGGATGCTATTATTCTAGCTTTGAAGTCTCATGAGTACTCTTTTGTTCATGTTAAGAGGGGCTACAATTCAGATGCAAATTGTCTTGCTAATGCGGCTACATCTTAGTTCGTGGCTGTTTTAGTCTGAGCCTCTCTTTTTTCTAATTTTTTCTTTTTTTTTGGTTTCTTGTAATCCTTTCATTATCTTAATGAAATAACTACAACGTATCTATCCCAAAAAGAAAAGAAAAGAATGGAATATGAGTAAAACAATTGGGCTAGTCTGTCATTCAACTCAAATGCATGGGCTTTTCAATAAGGGAGTTTTCCGTCGTTCTCTTAAAAGAAGGGGCATATTGTATGAAATCTCCCTCTATCCATTTCCTTGCTGTTTTCTCACTCAAGTTATTGTTTTCTCACTCAAGAATTAGAAGAAGATGCAGTGTCTGTGTTTTTGCAGTAATTTTGATCCCCTTTGTTTGGGTCATGCCTATTCGTCTAATCTCTCTCTTCCCAGACGAAGAAGCCATGAATCCTCTCTTCTTCTTTCTCCTAAACCTCTCTCTCTCATCACCCATCATCTCTTTAAGAAAACTCACAGGAAACCCTCACATGACGCTACTCTTACTTTCAGAGCTTCTTCTTCTTCTCAAGAATCTACCGAAAAGGAGGACGAATTCTCTATCCTCACGGCAATGAGAAGCCCTTTCAATGACATTGTCATGATCCAGAGTCAGGGCTCCAGAATCTTGCTCCTTGATTCCACACGTACCTCTCTCTCTCTCTCT